TGTGATGTTTTCTATTAAATCCAATATTTTCAAAGAAAATGTTTAATGCTTGTTCATAACAAGTTGGTGGACCCTTTGTACAGTATCAAAGAGAAAGAAATTGAGAAAAGCCAGTCTTCTAAGAAACCATACAGTGATTAGCTGTGCTGGGACCGAGTATTAAGTACCTCATAGGGACAGCGGGTCTTTCTGGAAATTGTCTTCGGGAGAACAGAATTGTATTTTGTGAATCCAGTATGTGGTTACTCCAGATAAACGGGTGAATTTGATTGTTCTGGGCTGTGAGGCTAGCAGCCTAATGATGGCGTTTAGGTATAAGAATGACTTGTATGCAACTTAATCGGAAAAGAATCTCTGAAAAATGTTCTCCATCATTTTGACACCTACCACACCCAGATTAGGGGCTTTTAACTTTTTGTTCTGTCTTGGCCACTGTCACATGGACAACACACTCCTGTCGGGAATTTCTGTCTTTACGTGCACTGATTCTCACGTGGGAGGGAATTAGGGGCCTGTGCATATCAGACACAACCTCTTTGGAGAGTCTTGAGAGCCCCTCTTGAGCAAGCCTGCCCCTTATTTGAGATTACAGAATAAGAAAGTCTCTCAATATCTAAAATAAGGACAAGGAAGCAGTCCCTCTGCTCATAACAGGTGCCATGGGAAGAAAACTCTCCCTTACTTCCTTTCCCCATCATTTTCCTGCTCTCACAGGGGCCTTCTTATGAACTGGGACGTCTCCTAGGGGGAGGATCTGGGTGGATGGGCCTAAAGAGGTGGCTTTTGCTGATAAACCCAGAGCCTCAAGCGGCCCAGCCACCTCATACTTCTCTCCCCCAGGGATCCTCCAGCACCCACAGGAGGAAGGATGAAACCCTTTTCCCACCAGAACCCTGTGTTTTGTCAAAGGTGTCACTGTGGCTCCTCTCTTGCACAGACTCATCGGTTAGTAGGAGGTCCACTGGGAAACAGGCACTGCCACAATATCCTTCTTGTGTTCAGCTAAGGTGACAGGCTGGGCGAGCAGCTCAAATAGGAGTTTAGTCTCAACAGCCAAGCGTCATGCTCTCCTGCTTCCCTACGAATTGAGTGCCAAGCCAACATGCCACATGCTTCTAGTAGTTTCCTCACTAAAAATACCCTGGTCTTCTAACCCTACCAGGTCCCTGTGGTGTGGTCTGATGTTCTCAGAACATCAGGAAACACAACCCTTTTGCCATTTACCCTTCACTCCTTGTTCCCAAGAAGGTCTGCTGCTCTGCCCTCTGCTTACTCTCTCAAGCCTTTGTGCAGTGGACGCCGCCACCGCCACAGCCTCCTCCCTGTTTTTGTGCCTGTTTGAAGCCACTGCTGCCTCTGTTTCTGGGAAAGGACTTTCAGAGCCTGGCTCAGGCCTCTCTTGAGCTGCTGTGTTTGGTACTAGAGTCTTGTCCTTAACTTTTGTACGTGATTGTGCTGTCATCGTGTTTGAAGCTGATGGATCAATGGACCTGTTTACAACGTGATGTTTTCTATTAAATCCAATATTTTCAAAGAAAATGTGTCATTTGTGCATTCTACCACAAAAGTTCACAAGGTCGTCTGGGCTGACATTTATATAATTTTGGAAATAGCTGATGAGCGAAGCTTCACTCTCAGTCCTCACAAGAGCTTGCAGGAAGGTCACAAGCATAGCAACCATCTCTTGACCTCTGATTCAATCATCAGGGAGAAAAGCAATCAAAAGATTTTATGAAAATGAAGCACCTATGTGAAATAGGGTAGGAATAAACAGATGAGCAATAATTGTCATGTTCTATACTTGAGATCCAAAAAGGATACAGCTGTAAAAAGAATGAGGCAGGTGTGTGATGAGGGATTTAAAAACTGCAAAGTGTGGAAAACATTCAGTTTTTTTTTGTCAGGCAATGTAATGGAATATGTTGGGTCAATACATGGAAATAAGAAAGTACAAGGAGAAGTTGCAGGAAGGGTTTAATTCTATAACAATCTTTTTACATGTTCCAGTGTTGAAAACATTTTTTTACCAATTTTGAGGTATAAAAATTCACCTGTACTTTAAACCTAAGTCCAATAGTTTTTATTAAGTTTAAGGAGTGTGCAATTCCTCATCACTGTGCTGAATGATTTCTATGATTCCAGAAAGCTCCCTGCTCCTCTCCCAGCCCCAGGTGACCACCGATCTGCTTTGTGTCTATAGATGTAATTTTTCTGGACATTTCATATAAATGGACTTATATGACATGATATCTTTTGTGTCTGGCTTCTTTCACTAAACAATGGTGTTTTTGAGGTTCATCCATATAACATGTACCGGCAGTCATTCCTATTTATCACTGAATAGTACTGCATTGTGACAGTATACCATTTTGTTTATCTAGTCAAGAAGGGTTTACATTTTAAAAAGGTATGTTACAGGAAAAAAATTAACTATATTAGAATGAACTGAAAATGTACTTCCAGTCAGGATGGCAGAATAGATGGTCCCCAGCGTCACTCTCTCCCACAAGTCAACCAATTTACAATGATAAAAAAGCAATGACAGACAAGGTGGGGCCACTTGGGCTCAGGGGAAGAAAAAGAGAGACCTATGGAGTGCATGAGGGCAGGAGAAGGCACGATGAGAGAAGAAAAAACACTGCTCCAACCATTTTGATTCCTGGCCACTTACAGGCTGGAGTTGCTGAGCGCATGGAGCATGGAGCCAGCAAAAGCCACAGCTGTGCCCTTTGGATGAAGTTGCATGGAGGTGGCAAGGGAGAAGAGGGCCTTGGTGGCCCCCAGGCCAGCAAGACCACTAATAGTGTTCCCATGGACACACATAGGAGCGAGGAGCCACGACAACTGATAAAAAGGAGCCACTCAGAGGCCAGTGAGTCATCGCAAGGGACTGGAGCACAGCCCATCCCATGGGAAGTGTTTGGAGTGCAGTCGGTGGGGGAGATGGGCCAGTGGGAGAACACTGGGGCACAGCAAGGACAGCTGATCTGCCTCCCAATCAGCGAAGGGCCACTCAGAGGAGACTGGTCAGGAATACAGAACGGCAGGGGGTGCAGATTGATGAAGACTCAGGCCCAGACCAGTTTCTACACAATCCAGGTGCACTGGGTCTCATGAGATCCAGAAGTACCTATAAAGTCAACCATTAAAACCTGAGTTGCACAAAAAGCCTTCCCTAGGGAATCAGCAGCAAAGCAGCAATTGAGCTCAATGTCAGAGCTTAAGTACTGCTCCCCACAGGAAGTTCCCCCATTTTAGAAGTAAGCAAAGGACAACAAATTAGTTCCAGTGCAGAGTTTAACTGGTGGGAACAGCAAATAATTCAACACAGAACTGAAAGTAAAAACAATGTACCCACAACCAGAGACAAAGTTTGATATTAATTAGTAAAGGTCTCATTTCACCAAAGAACACCTATAACACCTAGAAGGACCAGAAGTCGCCCAGGCTACCAAGCCAGAAAGCCTCAGCCATGCCCCGCCCCCCTGCAACCAGTCCTGAACGTGGGGGCCAAAGGCTTCGGCCACAGCCCCCTGACATGTGCAACCAGTCCAGTGACGACCACAGAGCAGAAGAAAGAACGGCACCGGCTTCCCGAGATGGGTTGGTGGGGGGCAAGGGCTTTTGCCTCCTTTTCCTGACATCCGCACTCAGCCTGGCAATGACCAAGCCACCGCTGGAAGCCCCCTGATCTCCCCTGTGGGAATGAGGGGGTTGCCACAGGCCTCGATCCTGCCCCACCACCTTCCTCCTTCTTCCATCCCATTTCCTTCCCCTTTTCCCCTACCTCCCAACTGCTCTGCAACATCACAGAATGTAAAAAAATAATATTAATTAAAAAAATGTTTTCTTACAAACTATTCCAAAAGATTGAAACAGACGCAAATCTCCCAAACTCATTCTATGAAGCNCTGGAGCTGCTGAGTGCATGGAGCATGGAGCCAGCAAAAGCCACAGCTATGCCCTTCGGATGAAGTTGCTTGGAGGTAGCAAGGGAGAAGAGGGCCTTGTTGGCCCCCAGGCCAGCAAGACCACTAATAGTATTCCCATGGACCCACATAGGAGCGAGGAGCCACAACAACTGATAAAAAAGAGCCACTCAGAGGCCAGTGTATCATCGCAAGGGACTGGAGCACAGCCCATCCCATGGGAAGTGTTTGGAGTGCAGTCGGTGGGGGAGATGGGCCAATGGGAGAACACTGGGGCACAGCAAGGACAGCTGATCTGCCTCCCAATCAGCGAAGGGCCACTCAGAGGAGACTGGTCAGGAATACAGAATGGCAGGGGGTGCAGTTTGATGAAGACTCAGGCCCAGACCAGTTTCTACACAACCCAGGTGCACTGGGTCTCACAAGATCCACAAGTACCTATAAAGTCAACCATTAAAACCTGAGTTGCACAAAAAGCCTTCCCTAGGGAATCAGCAGCAAAGCAGCAATTGAGTTCAACGTCAGAGCTTCAGTACTGCTTCTCACAGGAAGTTCCCCCATTTTAGAAGTAAGCAAAAACAAATTAGTTCCAGTGCAGAGTTTAANAGCCCCAGGTGACCACCGATCTGCTTTGTGTCTATAGATGTAATTTTTCTGGACATTTCATGTACATGGACTCACATGACATGATATCTTTTGTGTCTGGCTTCTTGCAGTAAGCAACAACGTTTTTGAGGTTCATCCATATAACACGTAGCAGTAGTCTTTCCTTATCGCTAAATAGTACTGTGTTGTGACAGCATGTCATTCTGTTCATCTGGTCAAGAAAGGTTTACATTTTAAGTAGGTATGTTACAGGAAAAAATTAACTATATTAGAATGAACTGAAAGAGATTTACTGATGACAGTTAAGCTGGAGACATATGTATGAACCTGGGACCTTGAAAACATCTGCTCTGTCTTTCCTACATGGTCATCCTTCTACAGCCAGTGGTTATGTGGATCAAGTGAGAGGAACATCTCTGGGCCAGCTTGGGCCTCTAATACTACTCAGGGCTCTTTGGAGAAGAGCTATTTATATTTTTGTGGCAGGGATCGCAGTGGGCCAGGAATATCTTATTGCCACAAAAGAAGAGTATTTTCAAAACTGTCTGAGGAAGTGTTGAGATATCAAAGGAGACAGTTAAATGGGCTTCCCACTGGCCAGGTTATGACAATTTGATCAAAAAAAGAAATCATAAATACAACAGATCAGAGCAAGTTGAATTTGTAAAACAGCAAGTCTGGTACTCAAAAAGGGAAAGGGTAATATTACGTGTACAAAGAATTGTATTTCAGGAAGACTGGACAGAATGTGTTTAAAGATTTATTACATTTAGTGAAAAGTGGCAGTGTGCTGACATAAATAAGTGTCACTTTCCTTCCTTTAAGTATGTCCGTTTATAAAGCAAAGGACACAAGGGCCTGGCCCACAATTCAAATCCCTTGTGTCCTTCCTTCAGGACTCTGCTCAAACAGCATGTGTCAGAGGCATCTTCCCTGA